CACCAAGTAGGCGGCAAGTTCATCGTTCTCATGATGATCGCTGCGATCGGTTACGTTGGTGCCGACGTGGCAGCCGACGCTATGATGGTGGAAGTTGCCCAACGTGAGCCGGAGGCTACGCGTATTTACACTCAGACCACAATCTACATGGTCCGTACGGCTTTCGTGACGATCTCCAGTATCCTCACGGGCCTGGCTTTCAACGGCAAGGACTATGGAGGCGACTTCAACTTCTCACATAGCTTTCCACAGCTCATGGTCATTCTTACAATCTGCTGTCCTCCGGTGACCCCCTCTCGTGGTATTGCATAGTAGAGGACCGCCACCCCGGTGTGGTTTTCTGCGACTACATGGCCGAGCTGTGGCATCTCATGCAGTTACGAGCGATGTACCAAGTCATCGCCTACAAGTTTTGGTAGGGCATCTTCGAGAACTTCACCATTACTTGTGCGGACGCGATGCAACCGTACTGGGCCGGGGCCACACCAGTCAACCAGAAGGTGATGGCGATTATTGGCAACGGTATCTTCGCAGTCACTTTTTACTTCACTGGTAAATATGGTCTTCACTGGAGCTGGAGATCAATGCACGCTATCACGATCGTAGCGGTAACAGTACTGGATTTCGTCGTCACTTTGCTGACGACGTGGAATATCTTTCGCAACCAGTGGTTTTGGCTAGGAGTTCCTGTGGTGGAAAACCTTCCTTATGGTATTTCTTTCGTTATCGGAACGTACGTGATCGTAGAATTGGCCGGAGATGGTAACGAAGGAGCAGTATATGGTCTAGTGGGGTCGATTGCCAATATCGCAATCCCCTTGGCTAGTACTCTGTCCAAGAATGTGGATAGCAACTTCGACGTGACCAACGCCAATATTGTTGATGATAGCACACATGTACGTTGGGAGGTGACGTACGTACTCATTATCCGTTATTCCATGAATCTGGCTGGACTTATTTTTCTGCCGCTGCTTCCTCGCCAAAAGGCTGAGACTCAGCAGCTTAAGCTCAACGGTGGCTCCAGTCGCTTGATGGGTATCTTGACCGCCTCGTACTTTACGATCTCATTGTGCTGGACGGTCATGGTGAGCATCATGAGCATATATCCATCATCTTCCTGTCTCGTGATCGCAGGAGGAACCGGCTGCGACTAGTAGATACTACGTAGTAGTTAAAACGTCATTCGTGCTATGAGTACTGATATGCTACTATTATATTACAGTAGTTGCGACTACTTCGAAGTAATATATACTTGCCAAGTATGTCATTCGTGGTAATAGTAATAAATCATTTCATCAAAGCTACATGTATTAGGGTCTGTTTCGTTTGGATTAAGAATATAGGAAGTGAAAAAATAACGGTAGCTCGTACTTAAGGGGGAGTTAGGTGAACGTACTATTTGTTATGGCATTCAGGAGGGTTTCAGCCAATCAGCGGCCGAATGGGAAAGACCTCCGTGCATCCTTGGTTATTGCATTCAGTCGTACGAACCGTCTTTCTGTCTGTGCATTTTGCCATCGGATGACTCCTACGTAACGCCGCCGCCCAAAAGGGCGACCACGACTTCCTGGAGGCCGAGGCCGTAAAGTGAGGAAGAACCTCGTGTCATCCTTCACAGCGGCGCACAAAGTACCCTAGTGCACGAGGATGTAAATGACATCGTGAATGAAATCCTTATCTCGGGGGATTTAGACATGGAGAAAGGAGAATTTAGTTCGAGCGATGATTTGGACGACATGTTCCGAGCCGTTGCAGATATTAATCTATTATGCAGCAATACTAGGGCATGGTTGGTTGGTGTAAAGAGGGACGACAACCTCCGCTGCGCTGTGGTGGGCTTTGATTCCTTACTCAAATCAAAGATACAATTAATATATATTCCGTGTTCTACTACATTTGCTTTAAAAGCCACTGTACACACTCTCCTTAGTGCTCACATGTTCTGCCTCACCAACCGCATCTCTACCTATCTTTCGCTTTTCTTGAAGTCAGCTCTGACAACATCACATATCGCTATGTATATCTACCAACTGGCGACTACAGATGGATATGCGTATTATAGATCTTGCTAGGCTGAATATTGTTGATCGTCATGGCAAAGGTAGACATGACTCTAAATCGTTGCGAAGGGGAAGGTTTCGTCGTTACCATCAGTGTTTAAAGTGGTCTAAAAGATGAACACCATTTTACCCTGGAAGAGATTTGTCTTAATTTTCGATTGAGCGCTTCGCTCCTGAATTGGCACCACGCTGAGGTGCGCTTCATTGCAAACTCGCTCTAGGTTTATTCGGAATGTGGGTCATTATCATTGGATCGCTAAACCTCAACATAAATCGGAGAGATTCCAAAAAAACTTAGAGATAGAGAACATGTCTACCAAAACGTATTAGGATCCCACGCCATCGGGTGAATTTGGCGACAGGTAGTACTTCGTAAAGTCGAGAGGTATTCTCTACCATATCGCTGAAGTGACAGTCCGGTAAAGCAACTTTTAATCGTCTGTCCATGCATAGAATGGTGTATAACCGCTAGTATCTGCCGATATTCACCAAAATTACCGGTTTCCCCCCTCGATTTGGCTCGCTGAGCTCATAATATCATGATATCTCTGAAGGAAATGTACCGATGTTCGCTGACTCGACACAATAAATCAGACTGGCTTTAATGATCAGCTCCGTTCGTCTTCTAACTCAGGAATGATATGATGAGCATTGTTGACTTACATACCGACTTATTTGCATAGTTACTGACTGACAGAGTGGCGTAGATCCTTTCGAGTAGTATTTACTGGATCTGATAAATATGCCGAGCACACCAAGCCACATGTGTAGGCAGATTATCAGCGTGTAGTGATATTTAAACTTGAATCGAATAGTAGCTCGTGTACATAAGATGAAGTACATTCGCTGCCTACTTATCAGCTCGACGTGCTACTTGATGTGTCTGTGCATCTCCTAGGTCGCCCATGAGTGTAGATGCCACGTGCTAGTGGTAACCAACACCTATATATGGGGTTACCGTTGCTTTCTCGGTACTTCTGTATCATCGCGCTAGCATACTGTACTTATCCGTCTATATGACCAAGCGCGTCACTAACTGGACACAGGTCATACCGCGGTGATACTGGCAAGCTAGCCGAGCGATTGTAAGCAGTAGTCAACGCGATATATACGCGCGCGGCGGGTACACCTTATAGTCACCCGCGACTTAGCCGAGCTCCTAGCTCTTCCATTATGGACATGGAAGTAAAGTATAGTACTGCGTACAGACTCGTCGACCTGCCACGCACACCTGTATGGTCAACAATACCGCACACGTCCTCACGTCTATATAGACAGCAACTTATTTTTCGCGCGTGGTGCGCACGCAATATTGTAGTTGCAATTCTGAGCGCGCATAAGTGTAATATAGTCTGTGAGAGTTAGTGGTACATATATCTTGATTTAGTTTGTGTCCAAACGAGTCAGTGTACTTGCCGTCTACGGTGACGCGTATGCAGATAGGGACGGCCAGCTTGCAGACGTACACAGTAGATACCGTGCGCTAATTATTATATGAAACGCGCTACGCTCTGTAGGTGCGTCAGCACTATTGACAGCGTCGTAGTCAGTTTACTGTTTGTGCGACCCCAGCCTCGCACCGTCAGCCAGTATACAAAACTATGTAACTCTTCTGCTGCTTCTTTTGCTCGATGTACTTGACGTTTCGGGCGGTCAACTTGCGATGGCGGCTGCGCTTCTTCTTCTTCTTGGGGTACCAGTCAGGACCCATCGCCTTCATGATGTTTGCCAGGCTATCCTGGCGACGCACTTCGGCCGAATCAGGTGGTGGGGACTTTTCCTCCCAGAACTTAACCGCTTTTGGACCGTTCTCGCAGGCAATATAGCGCCGCATGATGTCTTGTCCACTAATTGTACGGAATGCGTAGCCGTACTGCAGCTTCCCACAGCAGTTGCAGCGCGCCAGTGGGTCCATCGTAGACCGCTGTCAATTCAGCAGAAGCAGGTCAATATTGGCCTTGCACATGGGCCTGTAAACTGTGAGTAAGTTAGCAAATTATATTGTTTTAACCAATTTCGTGCGTCAAAGTATTAGCCAATAGCACGGTAATATAAGGCTGGTATTATTATTAGACAAAATATTAAACTGCTTTATTATTTAATCTTTTGCTATTTCTATAATAGTACTATTTTGAGATTTACAAACAAATACATACTTAACATGCAACAAAAGTGACTAAAAACCACCCGGGTGCAGCTAACGCAAATGTCGTAAAGCCTACTTTAATTAGAAATTTAATAGTAATGATAATAAATCGTCTCTACTTTGATAAAGTGTGTGGAAAATAACATCGCAGAGCTCTTAGAAAAATAAAGTGGTTGCTGTGCCCGATTTGTAATATATACGACAGGTTTTTGCGTACCTAAATGTAAATATTTAATCGTCAACACTCATCGCTTAGGTGTTTGCATCCAGTCAGTCCGTTTCGTTCTCGGTAGAAATTGTTACCTTACGTTCAATTGCGAGGGCGAGAGACGGTCTGATCGTGCGCCAGATTCAGTCAGTGTCGCAGGTCGGTCGATACTACCCAATCAGGGCGCGAGTTAATTGTGTGGCGTTTTTGCTATTTTTGTAATTTTGGCGTAGCTAGGTCAAGTCAGAAAGATAGGCGCGGTCGGTAAGAAGGGTCTTAAATGCATCAGAAAGGCCGAGTGTGGCCATGCAAAAAAGTAGGAAAAAGCAGCAAGAAAAGAAAACGACGGACCGATTAACAGACGGACGGACAGGCTGCAAGGTTAGGAGGCGGTAAACTAGCGCTCTGGGCGCCCGCTCCGCGGACACTAGGGCATGGTTGATTGGTGTAGAGAGGGCTGACCACCTCCGCTGCGCTGCGGTGAGCTCAGAAACCCTTACTCAAAGCAAAACTACATTTAGTATATAAAAAATACTGTGCTCAAGTTATGTTGCGTTGCAACAACCGATGTACACAATATCCTTAGTGTTTACGTGCTCTACATCACCAATTGCCTGTCAGCCTACCTCTTGTATTTCTTGAAGTCATTTTTGACAGCATCACTTATAAAAATGTCTGCGTGACGACTGGCTGTTACAAATAGATACCCGCGTGATGGATGGCTATTGTTGAGCGTCATGGTACTGGTAGACGTGACAGTAAACTATTGCGAAGAAGAAGTATTCGCCGTTACCACCAGGGCTGAAAGTCATCTGCATGATGAACACCGTCTTACCCTGGAAGATTTTGTCTTAATTCTCGGCTGAGCGCTTCGCTCCTGAAATGCTACACTTTCAGGTGCGATTCATTGCAAAGTTACTTTCGGTTATTTAGAAGGTGGATCAGTATCATTGGTGCGCCAAACCTCGGCATAAATCGGTGAGGGGATCCCAAATAAGTTTAGCGATAGTAAATACGACGACCGACGTGTATTGGGATCCAACGGCATCGGGTGCATTGAGCGAAGTGTACTACTTTGTCTAGCCGAGAGGTATTCTATACCATATAGCCGATTGCGACGGTCGGTTAGAGCGAGTTTTGTCTGTCTCCGCATGCATAGTATTGTTTAGAGCCGCTAGTATCTGCCGAGGGTACGGAATATACCAATTTCGCCTCTCCATATGCCTCGCTGAGCTCTTCATAGTATCATGATATCATTGAAGGGTCTGTACGCGATGTTCACTGACTCGTATCAATTAATCAGATTGTAATTAATAATCAATTTAATCTCATAACACTTCTATGATAGGAAGAACGCCATTGACTTACTTACCGACTTATTTGCACAGCTAATGATGATCAGAGATCCGTATATCCATTCCGAGTGGCATTTACTGGCTCCGATATGTATGGCGAGCATACGAAGCCACTTGGCTGTAGGCATATTATCAGATCGTAGTGATACGTAGACTTGAATCGAAAAGTAGTCCGTGTACGTTACACAAAGTACTTTCACTGTCTACTTTTCAGCTCGGCGTGCTATTTGATGTGTTAGTGCATAGTTCATTTCGCAAGGTCGCAAATGGGTGTATATGCTATGTCCTCGGGATAGCCAAAACCTATGCATAGGGTCACTGTCGCTTTCCCAGTACATTTGTGTCGTCGTGCTGGCTTACAGTGCTTACGCTTCTGATGTATCAG